CTAATTAAGTCACCTTACACAAAAGAGAAAATGTATCATTATAGTCAGGCTTGTAAAAAGGGCAAACTGTATTCTAAAGAAACCCAACGGGCCAGCCGGAGGCGCAGCAGTTAAGTGCGCACGCTCCGCTTTGGCGGCCAAAGGTTCGCCGGTTTGGATCCCAGGTGTGGACATGGCACTGCTTGGCAAGCCATGCTGTGGTAGGCGTCCCACATATAACGTGAACGAAGATGGGCACAGATGTTAGCTCTGGGCCAGTCTTCCTCAGCAAAAAGAGGAGGATTGGCAGCAGTTAGCTCAGGGCTAATCTTCCTCAAAAAAAAAAAAAAAAAAGAAGAATGAAACCCAGAACTGATCCTAACATATCAACCACAATGAAGGGACTATGTCGTCATTATAAGAGCAAGCTGCACAACTAATTTTAGAAGTACGTACTAATCTCTTTAGATTTATTGAAAAACACTTCTGGCATGACTCTTTTCTCAAAAATGGCAAAAAAAAAAGCCCTATCTCTATCTATCTATCCATTTATCTATTTTTTTTAAGCTGTACTAAGGAGCAGTTCCTATTGATGCAATTAGGCCATTCCTTCTCTTTGGTGATCTAGACCTTTTTAAAAAATGTCAGCTCTGGTCATCCTCAGTATAAAATAAGCCATCAGAGTTACCATGGTGCAACCTTACATCTTAAATGTCAGTCTGTGCCCTCTAACCATTAGTTATCAAATATGGTTTAGACCAGTCATGGCGTAAACTCTGTTAATCGGGTTTTACAAATATAATGCAAATGATGTGACTTCAACTAGAAGAAATTTAAAATCATATTTATAATTCTTGTTTCTAATATTTGGTTACCCGTACAAAGTTTTTAAACATAATATTTAAATACATGTTTATGATACATGAATTGATATGATATATGAATATATAAATTAAGTATTTTGTGGTGATCTTATTACATGAGTCTTACTCAGTCACACCCATAAGATCTTTTGATGAAGTCTTGTTTATTTGTTAGGTTTTGTGAGGGCCGCCTTAATGAATGTTGTAATTATCAAGTGCTTTTGACATTAAGCATATACACAGTAGATACTAATAGATAATATCTATTATTCTGACTTTATAAAAAAGTAACAGGTACTATTTAGGTAAATAGTGACTGCTCAGTGTTTCATAAGAATTTAGTAAGGCAGGTTTTATCACTATTTTGACATTTTTCTTATTTTATTCATCCTTTCTTATTTATTGAGCACATACTCTGTGCAAAGTATAGTGGAAAGTGCTGGAAACATAATAGGACTATGACAGTCTTAGCCTAATGGAAGAGACTGAATGATTCTTACTAGGAATTTACCATAGGAGAGTTATACATCGTCCCAAAACATGTTTTTGCATGACTATGGTAACTAGCAATCATTCTAATCAATGAACACTATGCAATATAACAATCATACAATAATTTTGTTGGAAAAAAGTGCACTGTAGCATCACACTTATAAATTCATAAGATGTTGATACATAACACATGCGCATGCACACGGACAAACACACACACATGAAAATGCTAAGTACTAAAACAAAGGAAAAAGGTAACTGACCTCAAGGACGTCATAGTCTAGTAAGAGACACATAGACCCAAAGCAGTTGGTGCAGGAGGGAAAGGGCTGTGTGGGGCGGAGAAGGGCATTACGAACAGAGAGAGCCGCATATGCAAAGATATAAGATGTGAGGGAGTCTAGGATACTCCTTGAAAGTTAGTAGTATGTACAACATGCTCTCAATAATATAAGAACTAGAAATACATAGAAAATTTCACAGCAAATATTAAAGTATTAGAAGGAAAATGAAAACTTTAAGTGAAAAAGACTTTAATGGAAATCATTGCCATATGATTATAGATAATGGTCACTTTTTATTTGTTTCTGTATTTTCCATATTTTTAAATAATAAACTTGTATTTTAAAATCAGAGAAACTAGTTTTTCTGTTGTTTTTTAAAGTAAGCCAAAAATACATACATACATATGTACAAAATAAGAAAGACTGGAAGAAAAAACATATAGGAAATCTGAGAGACCCTGATAAAGAGGGATGAGGCTGACCTAAACCAATAGCCTGGGAATGAAGAAGAAGGATTCGATGTTAGTGTTTTTAAAAGATGAATTGAGAAGACTTTATCACTGATTGGGTGTGGGGTAAGAGAAGAAGAGCTGGAATACCTGGAGGGTGATTAGTGAATTTTCTTTGCACATGTTGAGAACTTAATTCTAAGTTTGGAAAAATTATTTTTAATAAAAGTAATATAGTAGTTATTGGGAGGGCGAGAATAGGAATTTAAATGTCCTAATCATAAATTAGTAAGGGAAGAGTCAGAGAGTATTTCATATTATGCTTCTGAAATCTAGTTACCTGTAACTTCCCCTCATTATTTCTCTTTAGTTCTGTTTCCTGGAACATCATAGAAGAACTCCTCTGGCAGTGATAGGCCCTGGAAAGTAGTATAATGTTCCAGTTGTTTTCCTTCCATCATCTCATTTAATCCCCACAATGACCTTGCAAACAAGTTATTATTATCCCCATCTCAAAGGTGGGAGTACTAAGATTTAGGAAGGCCAAGCAATTTGCCTAAGTTCCCACAACTAGTACCTGGAATTCTGAGGATTCAAACCTGGAACAATTCAAATATATGCCCAAATTCAATCCACTATAGTCAGAATATATTAATACTGATGTTTGAACCTAGCTGGCTGTTAAGAATGAAAGGTCCTGGGGCCCAGTGGCTAAGTTCGTGTGCTCCGCTTTGGTGGCCCAGGGTTTCACCGGTTGGAATCCTGGGCGCAGACACGGCACCGCGCATCAGGCCATGCTGAGGCGGCGTCCCACATAGCACAACCAGAAGGACCTACAGCTAGAATATATAACTATGTACTGGGGGGTTTAGGGGAGAAGAAGAAAAAATATATAAATAAATAAAAATTAAAAAAATAAAAAATTGGCAACAAATGTTAGCTCAGGTGCCAATTTTTAAAACTAAAAAACTAGGGGCGGGCCCCATGGCTGAGTGGTTAAGTTCCCCCGCTCCACTTTGGCATCCCAGGGTTTTGCCGGTTCAGATCCTGGGCGCGGACATGGCACCATTCATCAAGCCATGCTGCGGCAGCATCCCACATGCCAGAACTAGAAGGACCCACAACTAAAAATATACAACTGTGTACTGGGGGATTTGGGGGGAACAAAAAGGAAAAATAAAATCTTTAAAAAAATTAAAAAGAATTGAAGGTCCTTATTATGGCAAATGATGATTTTTTAAAAGCTTCCTCTCAGTAAGAAGAGTAAATAAGATATGGTGAACAGTATGAAAAATGATTTTGGTAAAATATCTAAAATATTCTGTTTCCTTGGGGCCAACCGGCTGGTGCAGCAGTTAAGTGCACACGTTCTGCTTCGGCGGCCCAGGGTTTGCAGGTTCAGATCCCAGGTGCAGACATGGCACCGCTTGGCAGGCTATGCTGTGGTAGGTGTCCCACAGATGAAGTAGAGGAAGCTGGGCACCAATGTTAGCTCTGGGCCAGTCTTCCTCAGCAAAAAGAGCAGAATTGGCAGATGTTAGTTCAGGGCTAATCTTCCATGAAAAAATTAATAAATAAAATAAAACGGAATATTCTATTTCCTATAAGAACAATGAACTTAAATTCTGCCAATTATTAGCTATGTAATAGTAATTTATTCATTGCATACATTATGTCAATTGGCATTTATAGCAATTGTGTGAGGTTGACTACTGAGGAATCTTAAATTCAGAGACTGCTTTAGACCAAAATTACTGTGATAGTGACAAGGGAACTAGTACTAAAATGTGTATCTTTTGGCTCCTTATTAGTATCTTCTATTGAGAAGGAGCAAAACAAAGCATAAATAATGGTTCTTTTAATTTTGGAACCACTAAATTATTGATACAAGTTACTACAGTCATCATTTAACCTAGGCAAGAAGGGTGCCATGTTTGAGAAATCCAGTCTTGCCCTCCTTCGGTATTCTCCCTTACCTTGTAGTGAGGAGTCCAAGGGGCCATGAGGACGTGCTCACTTGGAACCCATGCCCTCCTTCTAGACATGTTCCAGGCACCTAGAATTCCCTGAATCACTTCTAGGACCCATGCAGGGCTCTTCGCCAGGTCTGTCCTCCCACAGGTAGAAAGTGCCCTTGATGTGTGAACTTCTAGACCCAAAGAGTGGCCAAGAGGCAGCTGGCTGGAGGCGGAGAGAGAGCAGGGAATGGATGGAACATTGATCTGCAGCATGCATGTTAAGCCTCTTATGCTGTGAGATGATAGTGAATGAGAAGAAAAGAGCCAGCCACAGATCAGCCTCTCTCATTCCAGAAGAGCTCTGATGACCCAGGAGACAGAAAATTCTAAATTTGAACCCAACTGCCAGGTGTTTATGAAGATGTAATTGTCAAGGTAGAAAGAAAGAACATATTTTATTTAAAATTTTTTGTTTAGTTTATAACTTTCAAAATAATTTATAAGTTTGTAAATACCTTAAGTATTTAAACATATGGTATATGTTAGGACCTGCATGAAGCAAATCTTCTGATATATATATAGATAAAGATATAGGTAAATATATTGATATAGATGTATATCTGTGTCTACAGATATAGATGGATATAGTACCTCCTTTGTGTGGATACTCTTATCACTGGACATACATCTATGAACAAAACAGACAAGGTCCTTGTTCTATTCTAATGGAATGGATTCCTGGTCTCAAAGAGATTAGTCTAGTAGGTGATGCAAATTAAATAGGAACATAAAATGCATATTAAAATGCAGTGTAAGGGGGTTGGCCCCATGGCCAAGTGGTTGAGTGCGCGCCCTCCGCTGCAGGTGGCCCAGTGTTTCGTTGGTTCGAATCCTGGGCGCGGACATAGCACTGCTCATCAAGCCACGCTGAGGCAGCATCCCACATGCCACAACTGGAAGGACCCACAATGAAGAATATACAACTACGTACCCGGGGACTTTGGGGAGAAAAAGGAAAAAAATAAAATCTTTAAAAAAAAAATGCAGTGTAAGTACAGGGTGATAGGGAAAATGGTAGAGAGGGAGGGAAGGCAGTGATGTCTGGGAAGGCTTCCTAGATGAAGCCATAATAATAATAATAAAAAGAAGAAGAATTCTCAAGCTAAGAGTGAGGTATTTTAACCTAAAACAGATTATATTAGGGGATCAAGTATCTTGCTATCCAAACAAGTACAGTTTAACTTTCTAGTTTCTAAATAAAATTGAAATGGTTGATAAACTTGGAGAACAAAGTTTGCATCATCCATGAATAAACACATTAAATGGTTTTAATTATTAAATACTTTCTTTGTGCAAATTATGTTTATACTATATATTGCATGATATATAGTAACCGTAAGGTAGAAAAATATACTAAAATCAAGCCAATCTTAAGAATTAGTCAGCAAAGCATAATGCGATCTTCTGTGACACAAGTGACACCAGCAGGGTTCGAATGTCAAATGAGTATGAACTGCGCATTTGTCCGGTACCGTTCTTAACTCCAGCTCCAGTTCCCACAGTTGCCCTCCTGGAAGAACTCTCCTACCACAAAGAGCCCAAGTAGTAAACTCAGATGAGTAAGACCCAAAGCTGCTCAACAGGCAGAATTTGCTGGCACCTAGTAATTACTTGCTTTATGAAATGAAGAGGAAGAGGATGAAAACAGAGTGATGTGTTTGTGTTTGGGGCAGAGAGGAGTGTAAAGAAAATCAGATCCCTGGTTAATGTTACATGTACATTTTCTGATTTTTGATGAGTTCTAAATGGAGTGAGATTTGAGGGGAGAGACAATAAGAATTCTTTTGGTAGTAATTTCTTTCCATATAGCTTCACGTATTTCTTTGAAAGCTCTAAGTCTTCCTGAAAGTTGAAAGTCTTACTAAATCTTTTAGTAATAACTACCAGTTATCAGCCTTCTTATAATGGAAATCTTTGCCACCACTGGGATGCAGTCTTCAATTAGGCCTAGTTTTCCAGGGCTGTTCCTTCTTGTATACAGTGACAGCACTATTATGCTCTATGGTTTGCGTGTGGTGACTTTCTAGTGGTAATTATGCATTTGTCTTGATCCTCCCACACTCTCTTTCATCCCGTCCCTCCTTGTGACCAGGGTTTGCACCCGACTGGGATTAAGGGTAGTCAATAGACGGTGGGACAGGACATGGAACATGGGTCTACTGTCTGGCTTAAAGGAGGATAGAAGGAATAATTGACTCCTAAAGATGTCTTCAGGGAAACAAAAGGGGATCCAGAGGTCAAATATACTCCACCTATCTTTAAACTCCTTCCCACGCATCTCAAACAAAGAGATGCCCCTCGTTTTCCCCAATATTTGTCTGAAACGTGCGTGCCCTTCATTCTGTCTCTTTCTGTCTTCTTGGTGGCTCTGTTCCATCAATTTCCACCCATGCCCCACCCATACAGTGTTGTATTTTCATTTTCTCCTCAGCCTAGAGCAAGGTTGGCAGGCATTTTCTGTAAAGGGCTAGATGGTAAATACTTTTAGCTTTGTGGGCCATATGGTCTCTGCCCCAACTTCTCATCTCTGCCTGTAGCTAGAAAGCAATCACAGACAATAAATAAATGAATGGTGTGACTGTGTTCCAATACTACTTTTTTTACAAGGAAGATGTCACACTGGATTTGGCCTACTGGTCATAGGTTGCTGACCTTTGGTCTAGGGTAATGATTAGATTTTCCCCATATCCCTTATAAAGGAAATCCCTTGCCTCAATTCTTCTTCACTCCATAAACTGCTGTTCATGTTTATTAGATGTTTAGCAATGAGGAAAATTCCTTCATGCTTGCCCTGTCACTTTCTCACAACCCATTTCCTCCATAACCCACTCACCATGGCTCTGATCCCACCACTCTACTGATATTGCTCTCTCGCAGATCTTTAGCCTCCTAATTGCCTATTTTCTCTCCTAATCCTACTTAGCTTCTCTGATGCATGTGCTACTATTAAACACTATGTCCTTGAAAATCCTTCCTCACTTGTCTTTCCCAACAGCATATTCTTTCTTCCTCTCTGTTTCACTTTCTATTCTGCAAATGCCCTCTCAATTCCATTGCCTACTCCTTAAATGTTACTTTAACTCAAGATTTCCATTCTCATCTCATTCTACACACTTTCTCTCTGCTGTGTCTTTCATTACCATAATTTCAGTGAATTCCCATATGCTCATGATTCCTAAACATCCTTGTAGAGTTTTGACTTCTCTCCCATGGAAAGATGGGACCTTCCAGTGGCCAACTCATTGATTGTACAAGCTAAAACCTTTGGAGAAGTTCTCCAAGGAGATACGAAGGATAGTAATTTTGTGTCACATGATCCAGTTTGTAACACTAGCTCTGGGATAGCCTTGAGAAAGTTCTTTAGATTCATGGGACCTGTTTAATCATATATAAAAGGGAATAACAATTCCTTACTTGGCTTTCGGAGAATTAAATGTAATACCCACTATAATCTCTTAACTATCTGATGATATCTCACAAATATTTCTATTTTTATATCATGTCCTTTGAATGGCCCCTTTCCTCTTCATCTTCCAAACCTAATTGGTCAACCCATCTTTTTTATTCTGTGTCTATTTTTCTCTTCTTTTTGCTAAAGTTCAGGGCCCAATTTCTAGCCTTTTCTCCCCTATTCTGTCCTGTATATTGTTTTTATTGATATATTTCCAAAGAACAGATGAGGGCAGCACTTTATATTGGCAGTAGGATGAAGTCCAAACGTTCAAGTCCCTTTGCAATCTGAATTCAAGCTTTATCACTACCTTCATCCCACCCTATGCATAGACATGTATCTCCCTCCTGTCTTCTAACCATACCAAGCTACCCTGTTTCCCAAATGTGCCAGGTATACTTAGCTTCATCTGGGATTTTGACTGAATTTTGTCCCAGGCAGGAAAACTCATCTCTGTCTCTTCTAATTGCTGAAATTCTATTCAGCTTTCAAGATACACCTTGACTACTGACTCCTCTATATAGCCATCTCGATCTACCAGATTTAGAACAAAATGTTTTCGTTGTTAAGTCACCACTAAAGATAGACTATATGTTCCGTCAGAGCAGGGAGCTCTATTTCCTAGCACTTAGGGCAGAGGCTCCCAAGTACTAGTAGGCACTCAGATGTTATTTGAGTGTAAATATTATTATCATATTTTAAACAGTTCAGCCAACTGGTCTTATTTATTTTTTCTAGTGACAACAAAAGTTAAGTTGAGAGGTTCAGATAAGATCTTTTTTTAGGATTCCAGTTTTGAGACTTGAAGTACATTTTCTCTGTAACCTATTTTCTCATAATTGACAAACTACTTGAAAACAGGAAGAAAAGAGGGAAGGAAAAGAGAGAAAATAATTTGCCGGCCCATGTGCCAGAGCCAAAAGGAGGTTGGGGGGTAGGGGGGTGGGGAGCAGGAGTTGGAGTAAACCTAAAAGAATCTGAGGCCTAAGTAAAAGAGATGGAATTTTTTCAGTTTTCATTTTTGTTTGCTTGCTTGCTTGTTTGTTTGTTACGTGGAAGGATATTCACTGTAAGCTTTTTTAGCTCAGGAATATGGCAAATGATAAAATTGAGCAGGGCACTAAGAATGATAAGGCTGATGCTAGGTGTTGTGGGTCCTTGAAAATTGTAAGGATTAATGAGCCCTAATTCTTTTTCAAAATTATTTGCAAGCTTAGGTATGTGATTTCTCTGCATCTTCAGACCAATCAATGTCTAAACGATATGGCCAAAAGCTGAAGTTTGAAACCCACTTCTCCAAAAAGTCTTACCTGATAAGTCTTCCTCTTACCGCTGGCTGCCATGTTATTATGTCCTATTACCCATATCTTGTATTTACATGATAATATATATTTATGTGCTGCTTATTTTCTGCATTAGAATCTCTTCTATGCTTATATCCATGCTCCCTAGCTTGTGTTTCTCAAATTAGAAATGAAGACCAAGGCAAATCCTGCCAACTTGCTATAACTCAAGGTTAGAACTAGGTAAAATACCTATTAAATAAGTACTCAATTCTTAATTAAAATTTGTAACTAAAACTATAGTTTCATCATTATAGAAAGTTATTTTGATAGTTCACCAAAAGAATGATTTGTATTCATCATTATTATTGTTATTATTACTATTATTGGACATCCTAGAGCCTCCGAGCTTTAGTAATACATGCAAATGTACAAAACATTCATTTTCTTTTATAAAACATTCATAAATTCTATGATTCATAAATGAAGTTATTCAAGGTTATGATAAGGCATTCCAGAGGTAATAAGAAAGGAACTCTCTTAGATTCTGTTAAGTATGAGTCATTTAAGGATGTAGAATATAGGTTTCCAGTAGTTTTATGCACTGGCTTTTTATTTTTGTGGTGCTGAATACGAATTCAGTCAAGATTTAAAGAAACAGGACGATATTTTGATCTTAAAGCTATATGAAGTCACAAGGGAATGAGTTTGGTTTCTTCTCTACTTTGTAATGCAAAGAAGTGCATTCCACAAAATCAGATGAAACAAGCCATTAATTTGACAGTCTCGGTTCTTATAGCCCTATTGATTCAGTAAGCTGAAAACAGTTATGGAGGCTTATTGGCTCCAATTAGGAGTCATGAAGCTTGAGGTTAGAAGAAATGAGAGTGCATTGGGAGAGGAATCATTCAGTAACAGAATCCTTCTTAACATTTTATTATGAATGGATATAAACTCTTGGTCTCTTGTTATTTTTGTACTTTTTCACTTATTGATTATCTTTATGGACCTGTTTCAAAATGTGCAGAATCTCATCTCAAAGCTCATTTTATCTTTTGGGTTGCTTTTAGCAAACAAAACATTTATCTTATTTCGTGAGACATTTCATGATTACAATCTCAAGAGCTTCCTATGTCTTACTTAGATGTTCTCAAAAGAATATTTTCAATTCCTTCTGCATAATTATTATATATATGGCAATTATTATATAGATGACAATGCTCAGGATATGCTCTGTTGATAGATTAATCAATATAGACTCTATAGATATATACTTATTTCAGCATGTGCATCATCTTGCATGGAAATAAATCCTCTCCTTAAAGGTATGTAACATGTTTTGCTCTTATCAATAAGAAGCCTGACTAACTCTCATGACCACCCTTAGTGCATATAAATAATATATATCCACAATACTGTCCTTTAATGTTAAGATCTTAGTAAATAGTGCTTAAAAAAGGAAGAATCAAGGAGGAAAAGAGTATTCACATTTTTAAGAGCAATATCTAATGAAGCAATATAATTTTACTTATAGCTGCTATTAGGAAAGGCTAACATTTTTTCAAATATTCCTTTCAGAATGTCCATTTTTTTCCACGTTTTAGCCTAGTGACAGAAATGCAATTTTTCCTCTCAATGATTACAATATATTTATATCTTGGGTAACTTTTCATATGTAATCAAATGACAGGAAGACTTTTTTCTGAGGTGTTGGGATGCTGATGAGGGAAGACTTGACAGCCAGCATCAATTATCAGTTATAAAATCCTTGCTTATCATTTGTTAACAAATCCTCAGTTGAAAAACCTTTTGAACAGCTTGGCACTAGCCTAAAATTTGCTTTACTATGAATATAATCCACCTCTAATAAAAGATGACTATATTTCCAAGTATATTTAAAATAGAAAAAAATAAGATTATTATAATAAATCTAACATCACAGCAACCAATTCATGGAGCTTAATTATGACACTACTAAATGTGAAAATCTATTCAGTGCTAGGAACACTTTTCACATTACATTCACGCTAAAGATTGGCTGTTAAGAGCTCATTACTGGTATTTTTCTAAAGAGTGGTTTATTAAACACAGTTACCTAATAAGCATCTTTGGTGGTGCAAATTGCTGAAAACAGTAATGAGTCTGATTAGACTTCATTTCAATTACGACAGCTTGTCTAGCAAAAAATAAAAAAGTAAAAAGAAATATATGTATAGATATATTTCCTTGATGCTTTGGCATCTGGCTACAAGACACTGCAGAGTTTAAAAAATAAAAAGCCACCTTTATATTTCCTTTCCACAGTTCACTAATGAAGAGAGAATTGTCCAAGTCATCATCCAATTTACACACTGGAAACCTGGATGGACAAAGTGGAGTCACAATTGTGTTTGCTTAAAAACAGCAAAGGCTGCCTTGACTAATATGTCTAAATAAGGTCACCTTTAGTTTCTCTCTGCTTTATTATTTCTTTTTTCCTTAGGAATATAAAGCTATAAATGAGGTGGAAACTTAAAAATGATTCATTCGTATTTGGCTTGTGGAGGTTATTCTCCAGATTAATAGGCTCACCTTTCAATTATGTTTTATCCATGGATCTTCTACTTAAAATCATAACAATACAGGCAGCTGTTGGACTATGCATGCTAATTACCAGACCGATATTTTTAAAAAATATATATGTGGGGAGGGGGAAAAAAATAAAAGAAACCAAGCTTTATGAATGTGCACTAAAATTTCAGAAAGTGTAAAGGAATGTTTGTTAGACACAAAACTTGATTTGATGTTTAAAAAAGTATGTTATTTAGCTGCATTTAGCCGCTAACCTCCTATTAAATTATGCCTGAATATTACTGCTCAAATTGAAAGAAAAAAATTATTAATGTAAAAAGCCTTTAAGTGATTAAGCTGTCACTGCTGTCATTTGGGTACTGTAGTAACATTTTAATGCTTCTGGGAGCTATGGTCACTATTTTATGCTATATTTTCTGAATAGATTCTTTTTTAAAGTATAATATCATTTAACACTGAACGGGAAAAAATAATTTCTAAGTAAAAGACGAAAACAGTGGCTGGATGTAGAAGCATAAGAAAAGGTGGGCACAATAAAACATTCTCACCTGAAAAACCTCACAAGCTGGCTGAGTGATCATGTCATTCCCTAAGACTGAAAGCCAAATTAAAACGAAATTATAGTACTCTCGTGGGCATTTGGATACTTTCAAAAGATTTACTTAAAAGGAGACTAGCTCCAGGTATGTCAATTCAGTGAGTAAGAATGTGCTTTTAGACCCACGGTTCATCATTAACTCTGTGAATTCTCTATTCTGTTAAAAGAAAAAAAAACCTTTTGTATAGAAAAGACAAAAACGATTCTAAATTAGCAATTGGGGTGCTTTCCTAAGTAACCTGTTTATAACATAGTTTGATTATTTGCTTTTCAAGGTTTTTTGTAAACATTTCATTTCAAATGATTCTGATAAGTGTGTTTCTTTTCGTATGCAATTGAGAAAATGTGTTGATATGTAATAAAATTATTAGGTTTCCTCTTTGAAGAAAACTTTATACACATAAACCCAGACCTCCTTGATATTGAGTACTCAATTAAGGAAAAGAGTGTTCCTAGTATGTTTTGGGATCATTAATAAAGCTTTTAAGTTTTATAAGTAGGGAAACTTTTTGAGGTATATAACTTGGTTCAAGCCACAAATAATAAGTATATAGCTAAAGAAAACCTCAAATAATGCTTACTTTTGATAAAAATATGTTGTGAACATGATAGTTAAATAATTTAGAATGTGCTTTGAGTTCTGAGATTATTAATAATAAAGCTAGTAAAGCAGATCATTTTTTAGGATAAAAGCAATTTTAAAAATCTCTTTTCCTTCTCTCTGTCATTTTTCTCCCATTTCCTCTGTGTCCTTTCTGCAGCCACAGACATAACACGTACATACACACATGCAGGCCCCTCGATTTGATTTTTCTGTGCAAGCTGCGTGTATTACCTGCAGGGTTCTGGTTTTCCTGTCGTTTAAGGACTTTGTGGAAATAGAATGCACATAATTTGAAGACACAGCAGAAAGATTTGACTTATTTACTCTTTTAACATAAACAACAAAAACTAGCAAATTTAGAATTAAGTTTCTTTCAAATTACCTGCTAATTTAAAAATGTGACTGGAAAAATCTCCCTTTTCCTTAAAATACTGGAGTGTATCCGTTAATAAGGAGGCCAATAAAATAGTTCATGAGCATCAATAAGGAGTATAAAATTATGGAATAGTTTAGACCATATGGAAGTAACATCCTTATAGCTTTTAACTCTACTGACAGTAATGAGAACAACTTTATTGGTACCTGCTATATTAGAGACAAAGTAAGCCATGTTTATTCACAACAGAAGAGAGTTGGATTGGAATTAATTGTAACATTATAAGCAAAAGAAAGGGGATCTGTATTTCATGTGATCAATGTCACTAGTTCAAATATTTTATTCAATTCAGCCAAAGCCTAAACTTTTTTTTTTAACAGAATGGCACTATCATAACAATAGATGAAATTGTGCAGTTAAATATTACAGAGAGAGCACAACCAAGATGGAATCTGAAGAAACAATTTCTTTACTGTGGTCCCTCTATTGTTAGCATTTCCCCAAGGATTAGGTTGTTGGGCACCCCCTCTGGAACAGGAAATGCCACTTTCTTTGAGGATCAGCTGATATCCTCTCTTCTGCTTCTGTCTCATTATGCAGCATTCTTTGTTTTTACAAATGGAAGAGCCAACAGCGCTAATGGCTGGACTGTCATTCACACTGCACTTTAACAATGTTCTGTTTATCTGGAAATTAGAGCATCCCAATTATAGGTGGTGCTCAGGTTTATTTCACCAGACCAGAGAATGGGGCTGGGCAGGGAGAATGGAGAAGTGAGGAAACTACTGTTGTTGCTAAGAGCTCTTCACTTTTAATCCTGGACCGTGTTGATTGTATTCTAAAGCAGTTTATCTTCATACATCATCTTATATGGAAGAAACAACACTAAACTTACCAAAACTCATTTCATATGTAGCTTTTTCCACTGCCTTCAGATCAAAGTTATTTTCTTCAGCCCGGACTAAATTATACACAGGTCCCAGGAGTGAAGGACACTGAATTAATGCACTATGTCACCCAGCCCTGACTATAGAATATTTTTATCAAAGTCCAAGACACTATTTTGCTATTGCATTAAAAATTAATGCACGAATTTCCAAAAAGAGAAAAATGCATAAATAACCTAAACAAATTTTGTCTGGGCTTTGCACATTTTACAGTCACCTTAAGCAAAGAGTTTTTAAGGAGAATGGTTGAAGAGTTGTATACTTATATGTAAATAATATTCTTACTCCTTTGTCTAATTATATGAAAGAAACTTCAATCTTAAATAAGCAGCCTTAATTATCTATTTTGTTTTATGTAAACTGTCTTTTTAGAGTAAGGTTCCAGAGGAACACAGAAAAGAGGATGAATGCAGATTCCATCTCACACAGGTCGTGGGGCTTGGGAGATTCTGAATTTGTTTATTGACCCTTGTCAGCATGGTGTTTTGGGCAAAAATGAATATAGTTAAGTTTAAATATAACTAAATTGAGCTTTGCATTTATATACTTGAAATAGAATACACACAAACAAATAACTACTTACAAATAGCTATATGTACACCTAATGATTAACATAACATTTTAGGATTGTGACCGAGAAAATTAACCAGCCGTGTCATAATTCAAGGTTGGTATCATGCCCGGCTTGTGTTAATTAAAAGTGCAAATTTATTTTATGTGGCACAACAGAGTCTTGAGAATCAGTTGGAATAACCTCAGACTTTTAGGATGATGGTAATTTCATCTCAGCAGTCTTTTTTAAAAATAAAGATTCAAAACACATAGAAAATGCACAATACTTTCAGCATTCAATTTCTCTTTCTGGATCAGTCATACAGGCCGGATACTATGAATCTAGCATGGGGCTCCAGGTTGTGTTAACCCCATTTATCCCTGCACGCTACAGCTCACCTGTTATTTACACACATAAGAGGGTTGATACTGCAGAACAAGGGGAGTGCTCTGTTGTGACACAGAACATACATATTCATTAGCCCTGGCAGTCCCTATGGACAGATGTCCTGTTGATCTTTGTATCACAAAAAGAACTGGGGGGAAGGGTAGGTGGCCTTAATGGATTGAAAACATATATGGAAAAGGGGAAGAGAGGGCCTGAGAAACGAAAGGCGGTAAAGTAACCACCTGAAAGGTTAACTACAAAGCACTATTTAAACTGATTATAAACTGTGTAAAATCATTCACAGAGGTAGAATAAACAAAGTAACATTTGATTTAACATGGGTAGATCAGTCCTCTTACCTCCTAACCCTCAAACTCTTTCCTTTGCAGTAGTTGATGACACCTAACACTAAATACTAAGATTCAGAGTATGAGTCATTTCTGTATTTTTAATTCCATGTGTATGCATGTATTCTTTTGAATTAATTATGGTAGGATATACACAGACTTTTGGACACTGTTTTTTACTTGATTTAGATTATTATTTAAAAATTTTTACATGTAAACTTTTGTAAAGCCATAAGAAAAGAAAAACCATAAATCTAAATTATAATTTTAAAATAGATGGATTTTCTCTGAACATGATTATATGTTCACTTGAATACTTTAAGTACTGGAAATTTTAGGACCCCCCACAGGGAAAAATAAGTGTTTATTTGAATTATGACTATGATTTCCTAGGTTGCTTTAACTGATAGGCTGACCATCCTGATCATATATTGGATATAAGTTCAGTGGACTAAAAGGGATATTTCTTTCATCAGTGTAATTTGTTTTGCATAAGTGCTTCTGCATTCAGCCTCATAAATGCAAGTCATCCTCTTCTAGATGTGTTGCATGTTAAAAATGATGGCCTATCAGACCCATGCATACCAAGATTCATCCTCAGTATGAAATATTGGGAAAATAGTCATTTTTATATTTGGTCACGTTTTGATGAGTAAATATTTTGTTGCTATGAATAAAATTTAATGCATTTTAGGGAAACTGATTCAGATCATAAGCTACCCACAAATGTAATTGCAGGAGAGTTTATATCCTGTCCTTCTAGTCCGAGACCTAGTGCTGGTAAAATTGAGTACAGGCTTTTACTGCACCCACAATGATGACGTATAAGACAAGATCAGTTGTTTACCCAGACACCAGCCCCCCAGTAACTTTCTATACGATCTAAGAAGCATAACTTTGAAGTAACTTAAACAATCTCTCAAAAGATGTCCTAAAACTCGTGATTGACTAATAGGAGATGATTTGCTATTATGAATGAAGTTTTGGTTTGTGGTATCAGAACCTATGGCATATTCAAAGGAGCATGTTAGGAATGGTGGAGATTGACATATGGGAAATAGCTAGGAAAAATATCTGATAAATCAAAGGGGGAAACATAGAAACGACAGCAATCTGGAAACTAGTTTTTTTAAGAAATCATTATTCATCATTCTACGTGGTTGTGCTAATGACACTCAATCAACAAGAAAAATATCAATCATTTTCCCTGTGCTCTGATTAAGAGGGCAGGAATGCACATAATAAATAGTATTTGGAAAAATTTTCTTCTAAAGGGACTACTTTTTTTTTTAAAGGTTTAGAGCACTATACTTGCTAGTTTTCAAGAAAATGGACTTAAGTGAAAAAACTAGAGCTTGAAGCTTCAGAGTGAAGTCATAAATTCAATTGCTGACATGACCAGTAGGTACCATAAAAATACCTGAGGTTGGAATAGTGAGTGGGGGCACCATGACAAAGTGGGCATGCCGTGTCCAGAGGGAGCAGCTGGTCCTCAGATTCAGCCAACTCTTGGCAGGCAAGAATGAAGTCTAATATTGTAAGATCATTCAGCTTATCTTGAAAAGATGGGAAATATGGAAATATAGATTATTTTCTATAAAGCTGACTGATTTTTAAAACCCTGTGCTGGCCGAACAAAACATGGGTACAGGCTGTATGCGGCCCTCAGGCTGGCAGGTGGCAATTTCTCTATATGAGAGGGTGAGGTATTTGAACTATATTTACTAAGGACCATTTAGCCAGAAATGCCTTCATGATTGTTAAAAAGGAGTGCTTTATGCAAATGAGGTGGAATGGGGGAAGGGAGTAATTTGCTGCAAAATGTATTATAATTTGGCATCTTGAGGTGTGAAAGTGTGATTTAAAGAGAAAAATCATTTGACAGTATTGCTATATAATTAGAATATCTTATTTTGAGACTGAGGGTTTTGAGATCATTCTTAACTGGTTTTAAACCTCTAAGTACTTTGTTTCTTGGTGGTGGTCTCTACAGTATCAGGTCACAAATAACATTAACATATATAAAATACTATGAAAACATTTTGAATTTTTGAAACCTTTTTGATTAAGGAGATCATGCTCCATGTTTTGCTGAGTATGAAAGAATTTCTATACCTTTCTTATAACCAGCATTCCCTCTGGAAAATTTCCTTTTCAGTAGCTGTCCTGAGGTTGAAGGAAAAATGATTTATAAATTCTAGGAGTGACTTTACTTTTTTTCTGTCTAGTCAGTTTTGTTTTGTGTTTAATGCATCTCTGGCTTTTTCAAAATAAAAGAATAATAAATATTTCGGTAGCAGTTTATACTTGGAAAATATTTTCACACTTACCGTTACATTAGGTAATTTTAATAACAATCCAGTAAATGATACCCTTTTTGTACACATTTTATAGCTGAGAAAAGTGAGTATGATGTGGTTAAGTGACTTCACCAATATTAGAACAAATAAGTGAAGGCATGAACCAAACCACTTGCTCTGATTCTCAAGCCTGGGATATTTACTCTTCAAACAGAATTCTAGAACCTTCTTTATTCTTTCCCCCAGTCCCTTTCTATCCCAACAATCTAGCAATGCCTCTCAATAAGACACTGTGTTTGATGAAATATTCAACCCATTGGACACCATGGTAAGTGAAGTCCTAAACTCTAACCGAGGCTACCTGGATTGGGGACTGAGTCACTGTAAAGTTCCCTTCATCTCTAAAATCAAAGAGTCTAATTTTAGAGAATTTAGAATGTGAAACAATAGAGAAGACAGAGCTGGAAACATTTCATCACCTGGTAAACAGATTCCCTTGGCTTAACTTCTTAGAACTGAACCACCAGACTTTACACATAGTGGGCCCTCAATTTGTTGACTAAATAAGATGAACAGTCCCTACATCATATTCAGTTTATAAAGGATTTCTACTTTGGGTGTTCTAAAGATGGAAGCAAATTAAATAAAGAGAACATGTAATTTATGTGCTGCTTCCTCTCGCTTTGCCCCTGCCGTTACATTTAGATATGACATCACACATAGGCTAGGAATTATCAGGAAGTGGACTGAGGAAGGTTTCAGATGAAGTGAATTAGTCCAAGTAGTACCAGATACTGCTAGGTACTGTTGGCCTCTTGGCTGATGAGGGTGGGTACACAAACAGGAGACTGCTGCCTAGCCCGCGCCAGCATTTCATTTGGTCCTCACTCCCCTTGAAGAATATGGATAAGCAGATATTGCAGAGGGCCAGTTTGTAGTCCCAGGATGTTTGCAGGCCCTCCCTCAGAAGGTTCCTCACCGCAGAAACCTATATTTTTAGCCAATGGATCTGCCACCCTCTACTTGAAATTTTGACTGCTCTATGTGTTGGTTCTGCCATTTCCTACCTAGGACATGATGAATCTGCGGCATTATTAGGCTGAGCGGGCTGTAAACTAATATAATTACTCTGTTGTATTTACCCCAGTAGTGACTGTTTTCTAGAAGGAACTTTGGTAAATATGGTATCAGAGTTTTTAAAAAATAAGAATGAAAAGTTTAGAGGTATAACAGCCCAAAAGAGTGTAAGAGGTGTAGTGATGTGCGCAGGCTTGTGTGAGTGCCGTGCGGCTATCCCACAGCAAGCAAGCCCGCCGTGCCTGCAGGTGTTTGCCTCAGGTCTCTGCCCTGAGGAAGTCTGAAAAAACCTACAAATGAAGGCAGAGTCCCTAGCAGCCAGAATTACCCTATGGGAACCTCGGAGAGTGCAGCTTTTTTAGACCTGATGGACTGCTGAATCGCACACGTGTGTTGGGGTGCCGGTGGGGGTGGGGTAGTGAGTGCCTTAGATTAATATTTCCAGGAATGTGGGTGAAAATAGACTCTAGAAGGCTTAGTCTTTTATTTCCAATTTCCTCCCATTCTGAAAGTTGTTTTCCTATCCTTCACTTTTCTATAGAACAGTTTCTTTATCATTTGAAAGCTGTGCCAGAACTTTGAAGGATACCACAGTTGTTTTGTTTCAAAATAGTTAAAGAGCAAAATGGAGGAAGTAAAGCAATAAGGCAGCAACTGTTTAGTAACTAAACCTAAGTTATAAAATGGTCAGTAATGATGAGAATGGAAAATGTTATCCAAACTGTCCAGTTTTATGGGAACTATAGACTTGTTTATTTGCATATACATAAATTCAGCCCATAACAATAAAACAACACAATGCTCAGGGTTTTTACTGTGATATCTGTCATTCTTGTGTGACACTTAGGTTAAATTGTCTTAAAAGCAATTTTGTATTAAATTACGTATTTTAAAAACAACCACATTGCATTGTGAAATTTGCCAGCCATATTAAGAATTTTCTGATGCTTTCAAAAATAAAAATTGGCATTTTGGAACAATTCTTCAGTTATCTTTAAAAACTATTTTTCTTACTTTCCACTGTTTTCTGAATTTTTATTGAACTTATTTAAAATGTTTCTAAACAGCAGTGGGGTTATGTTTCTAATACCGTTAAAATAGTATTGTTTCTGAGGTTTTTCTGTTCGTATTCCAAAGAGAAACCATATAAAAGCTGTTTTTAAAACCCACCTTCTTATTTGGGTTCCGAGTTAAGTGACACACATATGCTGCTTCTTACAGCAATTCAGTCAAATGGAGCAGGATTTTTTATTCAAAGAACATTTGGCTCTACGTTTTTCTTCCGTTTCACATCAGAAATATCACCACCAATAAACAAAACAATAATAACACCACCACAAACAACTTTGGTTCTACTTCCAATTATTTTTAAAATTCAAGAAACTGATGAAAAAGCTCTTAGCGCTCCCAAGGCCAGGACAATCTCCTGATCACTGGCTTCTTCAGCTCCTACTAAAATTAAGAACGAGCTTATGGTTAACTATTAACTTACACTAGCAAATAATGATTTTAAAGCACTGGATAAATACTTGTTTTTGAGGGGATGTGAATAATTCTGTTCCCTTAATGTTATTTAATCAAAGCTCAATCTTCCCTTTTGCAGCCCTGCTAAGATTATTGTTATTTAGTATGCATCAGTAAATAAACTTTCAATTATCTTGGTAAGCCCATCCAAAAATAGCATGAGAATCAAAAGGCAATGGTGTATCCAGTAATTGTTCCAAATAAATAATTTTAATAATTTCAGATGAACTAGAAATCTTTTGAAATTTACATAGCTTTGCTAGAGCTAAACTATGCAGAAATACCCAGTGAAAATGGCCAACTTATTTTATTTAAACTTTATATTCCTGTCTTTTACAATGATTATAACTTACTAAAATCATTTTTTGCATATTTTTTACAAATGATTAATTTATAAGAAAAATTTTAAGCCAATACAGGTGGAAGGTTGCCTTTTTTTTTGTTTTTTAAATAATTATCTAAATCTAAAGCAGTTTTGGGTTTTTTTAGTGGGCATTTTTTTTAAATCGTATTTATTATTTATGTTTGTTAACTAATGCCAATAATGGCTTAGCTCAGCTAACTGAAAGGAAGCCATGCCCTTTAACGAGTGTGTGTGTGTGTGTTGTGTTGTATTTGTGGTAAATTCCATTGCCTGTGACGCCTAAATTATTTCCTGAGACCCTGTTTCAAGACATTTATTCACATGTTTCTTCTGTATCAATCTAATCAAATTCCTACTTATAGCATATGGGTGTTCTTATTTCCTCAACTCTGTATTTTTTATAATCTTTTAAAGAAAAAAATCCTAATAGAAATTCCCTGGAAATGATTTACAGGACTGATGAATTTGTAGGTCTTTTAGACAGTTCTACATTGCAGTAACATTAATATTCTCCCCTTTTTATAAGGCTTGAAATAAATCCCATGACACCAGAAGAATTTAGATACTGATTACTTGCGATTGGTTCCTGGTGATTTGCTCTTAATAATTTCCAGTTGAATTTAATGAAAGTATGATTCCTGAAATGCTGCTTCATTAAAATTGCATCTTTTCCCCTTTAAGTGTGGTTTCGGTCATTTCACCCATTTTGTGGTGTGTTTTCCTCCCCCTTAAAAAGTGATGATTGAGAAAGCAGAAACAATTAAGAATATCACTCTAGTTCTTCCTAGAACTCAGCCCTGGAGTTTCTCTGAGTGAAATGATGCAAGCTGCACTTCATCAGGATTTTACAATATATTTTATTTTCCAATTGATCAGATTATTTTAAAAAATAGAGTTTTAAAAGGGAAAAATATGAAGATTTGGGAAGAGTGAGGGAAAGGAAAGTGAAGAATTGTTGCATATACAAGAGAAGTAAGGTTAGTATTTTTACTAAATATATATATATATATGCCTGATTAAGTTATACTGTGAAGCATTCAGACTTAATTTAACTGAGATGGTGATTTGCAAATGAATATCTACATGGATCCTTTTAAAAAATCCAAATGCAAATGAGTACAACTGCAGTAAAATATATTTGCAAATGAATCCTGTTGCTTTATTCATTTATTGTGTAATTACTGCAATCCTTCCCACCTTGTTTTCAGTATTTCTTAATCATTAAGTCGGAAGCATGACAGCAGTGCCAGCCCTGGCATGATTCTCTTTGACTAAAACCTTGTAAATTAACACAATTAGCACAGCATCATCCTGCTAATTAACTTCCAGTGTCTGGTGCAGTGGTTTTGCAAACAAGGAAGAGGGAGTCAGAAGGGAATCAACATGCCATTCTGTTACCAAACTCTGTGCTATGTTCAGTTTAGCTCAGTAAGTCAAAGCTGGCCATGTCAGAAGCCAGAGTCAGGCAATGAAGAGCTAAAGGGGGTGGAGGAGGAGAGCAGAAGGGGGTAGGAGCTGTCAAAATAGACTGCAGTAATTCAGAAGGGAGCTGATGCCACAGATGCTTCATTTAGACCAGGCCTCTTTCTTATCAAGGAATCTCTGCCAGAGGGCACAAGACAGTTTGCAAAATTCACTTTGGGTAATACAAAGGAGATTAAGGAGTCCTGCTTAATATAGCTGTACCAGAGTAGGAAGTGTGCGAACCAAGCAGAGATTAGAATGGGATGAGCCAGCACCAGGAAATAGAACAGGTTTCCAGTGCTCCTCTGTAACTAACTATACATGAGTCCTCCAGGGTACGTTATAAATCCCTTTGGGGACTGCTTCCCGAATCTGTGAGATAAGGTAATTTCTAAGGTGTCCTTAAGCTGTAAAATTCAAATGATTCTCTGATTCTAACTGCTCAGTCTTTTCTGTTAAATGAGTAACTCTTCTTGTTTTATAGTTTGCACATAATCACCTTGCTTCAATTAGTAATCAATTAGTAAAAGCAGATGATAGAATTACCCATAGCGTCTCGTTATCTGGTTGTACTCTCCCGAGTTTGTGCCACACACTGAAAGAGTTAGAATCCAGATTCTCTCTCTGTTCTTATCTTCCCTCTCACCTCTGTTTCCTTCCTTCCTTCCTTCCTCTCATTCTCTCTCTTTCTCTCTCTCCATGTGTGTGTGCAGTCTCCCCTCTTAGTACCTTGGAGGCTGTAAGGCAGAGGGAAGGATTATAAGAGGAGGGGGAATGCTAGCTAGAAGACCGACAGACAAGTGATGCTTGTTTTTTTTTTTTTCAGAGACTCAACAACAGAAGTGAGAGGCAGAGAGGAACCAGTTGTAATTCATACCGAGTTGTAGGCTTTGTGCGATGAAAGCGATGGAGCGCTGCCTGCGAGATTGCTTTGCTGCACTCCACGAAGCAGATTTGAAACTGTCGTGGACCACTTTAGATGAGAGTTGGATTATGGAATGACCTGCTATGTCTGTGTCATATTGTTCTGCGCAGGGAGCATTATACTGTGCTAACTAGGTGTTCAGTACCAAATAAGAGAGGTATCCTAGATGTGATCTGTCAGCTGTGTCTCATTTTTATATTGGTTAAAATATAAAACAGAAACTGTGAAGGGAAGAGACAGAATAGCTAGATAGTGCACATGTTAATGCTATCATGTGCTAGGTATTTAAAATGTGTGCATAGTCTACTGTAAGAATTGTGATTGAATTCTAATTTGACAGGAATGTGTGTGTACATATATATATGCGTGTTTCCGTGTGTGGGTAGCAAGTAACTTGATAGGCTTAACAGAAATAGATTTGCTTATTACTTAAAAATGAGAAAAATTTTAGGTCCTCTATAGAGTTTGCGTTTAAATTCAGTTTACTTTTTATACAGGGCTGAAATTCAGTCCATTTTAAAGTGGACATATTATACAGATCATATTAGGCATTATAAATTGTGGAAATCCTTTATAATGTTGATTTATTAATGAAAAATAATAGGTAACAAAAGAAGTTGGGGGTAAAAGCTTGTAACAGTTCTGATGAGTATCTAAGTAAATTAACTTTTTTCCCCCCAAATCTGTAGGCTTGAAGATGCAGTGGACGCCGGAGCATGCCCAGTGGCCAGAACAGCACTTTGACATCACCTCAACCACGCGGTCTCCTGCCCACAAAGTGGAAGCCTACAGAGGTCATTTGCAGCGCACTTATCAGTACGCCTGGGCGAACGATGACATATCTGCGCTGACTGCATCCAACCTACTAAAAAAATATGCAGAGAAGTATTCTGGCATTTTGGAAGGCCCTGTGGACCGACCTGTACTCAGCAACTATTCAGATGCACCATCAGGACTAGTGAACGGTCGGAAAAATGAAAGCGAACCCTGGCAGCCTTCCTTGAATTCAGAAGCTGTTTATCCTATGAACTGTGTTCCGGATGTTATCACTGCCAGCAAAGCTGGAGTCAGTTCAGCCCTCCCTCCAGCAGATGTCTCTGCAAGTATAGGGAGCTCTCCTGGGGTGGCCAGCAACCTGACAGAACCTAGTTATTCAAGTAGTACCTGTGGAAGCCACACTGTACCTAGTCTTCATGCAGGGCTCCCGTCTCAGGAATATGCCCCAGGATACAACGGCTCATATCTGCATTCTACTTACAGTAGTCAGCCAGCACCTGCACTTCCTTCACCTCATCCATCCCCTTTGCATAGCTCTGGGCTCCTCCAGCCGCCACCACCACCTCCTCCGCCACCAGCCCTGGTCCCAGGCTACAATGGGACTTCTAACCTCTCCAGTTACAGCTATCCCTCTGCTAGCTATCCTCCTCAGACTGCTGTGGGATCTGGGTACAGCCCTGGGGGGGCACCCCCTCCTCCTTCAGCATACCTGCCTTCAGGAATTCCTGCTCCTACCCCCCTGCCCCCCACCACTGTTCCTGGCTACACCTACCAGGGTCATGGTTTGACACCTATTGCACCCTCGGCTCTGACCAACAGTTCAGCAAGTTCTCTCAAAAGGAAAGCTTTCTATATGGCAGGGCAAGGAGATATGGACTCCAGTTATGGAAATTACAGCTATGGCCAACAGAGATCTACACAGAGTCCTATGTACAGAATGCCCGACAACAGCATTTCAAACTCAAATCGGGGGAATGGCTTTGACAGAAGTGCTGAAACATCATCCTTAGCATTTAAGCCAACGAAGCAGCTAATGTCCTCTGAACAGCAAAGGAAATTTAGCAGCCAGTCCAGTAGGGCTCTGACCCCTCCTTCCTACAGTACTGCTAAAAATTCATTGGGATCAAGATCCAGTGAATCCTTTGGGAAGTACACATCGCCAGTAATGAGTGAGCATGGGGATGAGCACAGGCAGCTCCTCTCTCACCCAATGCAAGGCCCTGGACTCCGTGCAGCTACCTCATCCAACCACTCTGTGGACGAGCAACTGAAGAACACTGACACGCACCTCATCGACCTGGTAACCAATGAGATTATCACCCAAGGACCGCCAGTGGACTGGAATGACATTGCTGGTCTCGACCTGGTAAAGGCTGTCATTAAAGAGGAGGTTTTATGGCCAGTGTTGAGGTCAGATGCATTCAGTGGACTAACGGCCTTACCTCGGAGCATCCTTTTATTTGGACCTCGGGGAACAGGCAAAACATTATTGGGCAGATGCATAGCGAGTCAGCTAGGGGCCACATTTTTCAAAATCGCCAGTTCTGGGCTAGTCGCCAAGTGGTTAGGAGAAGCAGAGAAGATTATCCATGCCTCTTTTCTTGTGGCCAGGTGTCGCCAGCCCTCGGTGATTTTTGTCAGTGACATTGACATGCTTCTCTCCTCTCAAGTGAGTGAGGAACACAGTCCAGTCAGTCGGATGAGAACCGAATTTCTGATGCAGCTGGACACTGTACTAACTTCGGCTGAGGACCAAATTGTAGTAATTTGTGCCACCAGTAAACCAGAAGAAATAGATGAATCTCTTCGGAGGTACTTCATGAAACGACTTTTAATTCCACTTCCTGACAGCACAGCGAGGCACCAGATAATAGTACAACTGCTCTCACAGCACAATTACTGTCTCAATGACAAGGAGTTTGCACTGCTCGTCCAGCGCACAGAAGGCTTTTCTGGACTAGACGTGGCTCATTTGTGTCAGGAAGCGGCAGTGGGCCCCCTCCATGCCATGCCAGCCACAGACCTTTCAGCCATTATGCCCAGCCAGTTGAGACCCGTTACATATCAAGACTTTGAAAATGCTTTCTGCAAGATTCAGCCTAGCATATCTCAAAAAGAGCTTGATATGTATGTTGAATGGAACAAAATGTTTGGTTGCAGTCAGTGATAACTTCTTTAAAAAAAATGTGATGAATGTTGGCACACACACATAAAACCTGCTACATAGGGTAGAGAGCCCTTTCCAGTAGTGTTTAAATCGCAAAGGGTACTGGGGAAGATGACGATTAAGTTGCATCTTTAGAGTCCGGGTAAATTTGGAGGAAAAATGCATCAAATGAGAGCTTCTGATTTGAAAGCCCCAGATGACAGAAAGCATCTATTGATGCTCAGTACGGTCCAAGCTAGACAACACTCACCAAGGAGCAAGGTGCAAGTGTGTTGATTTCAGAAGGACATGAACCTCGTGTGTTGATTCCATTCTGCTGTTCTCGAGATTTAGTTGCTGTCAAGTGCCTGGAGTGGTGCTTTATTTTTTTGTTTGCCTCACAATTACATTGGTGGCATGTGCTAATATAAAGAGCTTTAACTTCAAACATTATTGGACTAAAGAGATGAACGGTTGTGTTACGACAGAAAACCAGATTTTTGCCATTTTAAGAGCAACAGTATTCCTCAATCCTGTCTGTTCTGCAGTATTAAACTAAGAACAGGTAAAACAGGGTAACGGTAATCTGGACCTTAATTTCTGCAGTTCATTTCTTTTAATGTTCTTGTCTGCAAAAACTCAGGAAAGCGATTGTGATTTGTACAGTACCTCAAAGGAATGTGTTGAAAGCACTATGTACTGCTGAGAGTAATGGGACAGGCTTCAATGTTACTTTATATGAAAATGTATGTTTACCTCAACAATTGGAAAATAGCAAGGAAAATTACTTTGAATGTATCCAGAAAAATACTGACATGTGATACAACTGAATATTTACAATTTAAAGTAGAAATGGAAGGATTTAAAAAAAAGGAAAGGTTCTTTTACTAATGATGGGGAATTAACCAGAGCAGAGTAATTCTTTATGTCAGTAACTGCAAGAGTTCTTCGTACATTGCTCCTTGATAATGAAGTGAAAATGTTTTTAAAAGGTACACTGGTTAATGGAAAGCTACTTATTCCGTTTGAGTTAGCGTCTAGAACAGTCAGCAACAAGACCTGTCTGGGACCCTGAAAGTCACAGCACCTACAATCTAGGACTGCCTGTTACTGTGCAGGTGGGAGTGGTGGTGGTGGTGGTTTGCAAGTTCTCTCTTAAAACTGCTGGGAATGGTGTCATTCTATTCACTAATCTAGCTTATAGGCTTGCCGTGCTGTTTGATAGAATGCAGAAGATAGCAACCAAAACAAGCAAACAAGCAAATAAATACAAAAAACAACCAACCAACTTATATATATCCACAAAGAACGTCTATATCCCCTCTCCTTCTTTCTGACTCCTCTCTTGTCAGTGCAATTTTGCTTCTCATTTTGCAATCTTCTGGACTGTAGTGCTCCCGCATTCATTTCTACCTCAGTTTTGTTACATTTCTCTCAGAAAGTAAAGCAGAAACTTGGAAGTGGACGTGCATATGCGCGCGCACACACACACACACAAAATATAGTGTGCCAAACATGATACTTTGTTTTCTTCCGTCTTTTCCCATAAATCTAGTTTCTGACAACATCAGTCTTCATGCTTACTTCCACCTGAGTCCACTCCCACCCCAAGAGCATATATGGCATTTTTCTTAATTTCCCATTCCTTTCCTGCTCCCCACCAAGTTGTTCTTTGTATCCTTTAATGCTTTCTGTGCAACTTTTCATTGATAGCTGATTGACGATCGGCAATGCCTCTGAACAGACACAGTGTAGGCTGGAGCTTTCCAAAGCCGCTGCCCGTGCGCAAGCAGAACAGCCTGGCCTTTTTGAATGTATTCTTCCTTTTTTTTTTTCCTTCCTTTTTTTAGTTGAAAGATGCAGTAACAAAACTGTTGCAGAGCACTGGCATTTTATGTATTCAAAAAGTGATGTACGTTTTTAAAAATTTTAAATAAATGCAATGAGAAGCCCCAAGAAAGGTCTTTCTGTTATTGTTTTTTTCCTTCAAAAATTTTTACCGATTTCATCCACAATGTCAAATTCTCTGAAATATAACATAGAGAAAGCTAATGAAGGACTTCATGATATTTCTGAAATTTTATGATGTTGGATCATTACCCCCCTTTTTTCTTACTTTTTATGTTGCTAAAAACTGAGCAAATGAAGCAGAATTTAATTTACTATGATATTCTATCAATTAAAACTGTGCTTACATATAAATATTCCAAATTAAAAAGCAGTGCCTTTCATTAAGGATACAAAAAATAATATTTAAGTATGTCCTTTGCTTTTCGCAAGTGAATAAATGCTACAATCGTGTTTTGACTCTACCCTGCACATCCCTTATTGTAAAGAAATTCTAATACCCCCCATTAACTTGTAGGTTCGTATCGATCTCACTGACAAGTTTACTTTTGCACAGTGCTGACCTATTTTCTGTCTTGTAGACATTACATTTTATTTCCGCCAACATGCTGTGTTCACTTGAAAGCAACTGGCAAGTTTTGACAAACCCAGTCTTATTTAGACAACTTTGGAAAATCCAATATTGACCCACATTTTTTGTGGCTGGTAAGAGTTAATGCCAAATATATGACTGCGCTATTGTGTTTTACACTCACATATAAAACTGAAAAGAAAGTCATACAGATTGGCTCTTAGCTTTAAATGACTTAAAAATTACTTTGAGATATGAGTGGTCAAAAATCCATGTATTTAGGCAGAAGCTGAAGTTGTGTGTGAATTTCGTTTAGGCTCACAAATTCTAGGATTTGATATCTTAGGAAATTGGGCATGCTGAAGAAATGAAGATCTGTTGGGGGAGATAAGGCGGACCTTTGAGTAGATAGTGCTCTCCTGTGATTCTTTGATTCTGCATGGCAGCATTATGAGCTTTTCTATAGACTAGCTTAATAATGAGCTCTTTTCTGACCATCCCTTCTGGAGCTTGGGGTGGGGGTGGGGCACCACATCCTGAGAAGTGAATGTGTACAATCAGTGAGAGTACAACCGAGTAATCGGGCTTCATACTCTTGGCCTCATTTTGACTGCTAAGAATTTGGAGAAGGCTACTAATGAAGGTAAGGTAATGAGCCAGTCCAAATCCCTTGCCGTCTGGCCAGGGGATTTGAGCCAGTCCACTTAACAGCCCCTAATTCTCTTCTCACAACTGCAATAACATTTCCAACAGGGACAAAAAGGAAGTGAAGTAAACTACTTCAGTAGAAGGATCAATAGAAATTCAGGAGGTAGTTCATAATGACCTTATGTGTGACACAAATGGAAATACTCTACACTTCTGGCATGCTTCTCACCAAAATATTTAGAACATTAGTGACAATATGGAAAACTTTGCTGACTGAGCTGATCAATGGAATGTGAAGGCAGTATACTTTAAGGCTATTTACTTTCACACAGAATGTTTATCTATTAGTCAGTTTATATTCTACTCAAATGCAGATAGACGGGTATAATGTTTTCTTGTGCATTTGAAACCTATCAAGGAGAAAATAAACCATTCCACTAAAATACATAGGCCAAACACCATCTGGGCAAGTGATAAAAGCTATCCAGAGGCTATGCTATGTAAAATAGCAAGGTCAATTTACATGGGTGCATAGTACTTGGCTATGCAGTTTTCAAAAGAATACATCCAAAAAAGTCCAAATTAATTCCTACAATAGGGCTTTGTAAATTTAAATATATTTGTGGGTTGGAAAATATGTTTTAGAGGCATTCAGAATTTCTTTCTCCGAAAACGTGTCCAACTCCAAGCAGAAAGTTACTTCTATAATCCCATTCTCGTGTTTCTTAGCAAGAGTTGGTACCATCATCATTGAAACTAAAGGGACACAGTTTATTGAACTATTGAGGCCACTAAAGTAAAGTTCTAATATATATATATAAATATAATTAGCGTGTGTGTGTATATGTGTGTGTGCTGTTTTCACCACCACCTATTTGAACTTTAAAGCTAATGTCTATTTTACATTATTCAGAAGCAACTGGTTACTTCCTTTATGTGCAGAGATATACATGACCACTTTACAATTCAAAGTGTTTGAATATATTTTTTCTTTCGAAAAGTAGAGCCTTCAGTTGTTGAATCACTTGCCGATTTCATATGAAGCACATTAGCAAACATGGAGCTATTAGGATTTCAGAATTCAAAACCAGCTATACTTGTGACTAACCAACACATGAACTGAAGCTCACACTCTGCTAAGACCTCTGGTTGACATTCGATTTTGAACCTGCCAGATGCATTTGTGTGAACCAGGGATACTGCATCTTTAATGAACAAGTCTC